CAGAATTTTGGGATCGTGAACTTTCGTTTAAAAAAATGAACTTCAAAATAATGGTATTTTCTATGGTACCATCCAGCTAGTACGATCAGTGAGGCTATGAGAAAAATCCCAAAGTAACGATCATTTGACCTGAAATTTTCAGCAATTGTTAGGGTCATTTATGGTTATAAACTCTGCAAGTTTCAGCCTAATCGGTTCATTTTCCTTGACTTGAACGATTCGCTCATCAGTCACGATCAATTATCGAAAAATTCATTTTTATAAAAAAAACAACGATTTCAGAAATTCTTCAATGAATTCTATGCAACTTATCATCAATCAACATATTGTTTGAGAGGGAATTTGCATTGAACTGAATCCGATAAATGACGTTTGTTCAAGATCCTGAACACATCGTTGAAAGCTTAAGTGCATCCTATAAAACAGCAATTAAACACTGAATTCGTTATACGATAGTTATATAATATGATGAACCGAAAAAAGTGTTGTAATTATAATCGAATATCATAATATTGCACGACGAAAGGTCTTTTCCGATTAAAAAAGTCTAGTTTTCACGTCTTAAAATATAGTATCTTATGAAACACCATGATATCGTAAAAAACAGTCAACAAATACGTTTGCAAGCTGTTGTAGTGATATTATACTCCTGTGCATTTGTCTACCAAAATGTATTAATTTTCAGACGTAAACATTTTAACAATGGATTATAAAAACTCAAGAATGGAAATGAGTACGTATACTATTTTATATAACTTCGACAGTGGCTTATTTTATATGAGATGAAAAAATTGTCTTTCATATAGTTAGTTGAGCACAAGTGTCTGATTACAAAATATAAACGCTACAAGCCTAGAAATACGAAATGAAATGTTTTGCATACTAAACTCTAATGTTCTGAAAGCCTATGAAAAGTATCAAAAGTGGAGAAACAAAAGAGATAACAACTAATTAATCAAATTGTTCTCGTATATTGTCAAATTGTTCCATATTATCGATAGCATCAAAGTCGTTATCGTCAAGTTCACTATCAGTTGAATCTAGTCGAAAACTAATTGTCTGATAATTTTAGAAGATGTAAGTCAATTACCATATTGTTGATTATTCTTTGAATTTGATGCTGATGTTGTATTTTGCAAATGAGATGAATGTTTTGATGATGACTTGAATATTAATACAGTATTTCTTTGATAGAAGAATATGAATATCAACAGTGTTCTTACGGTAGTCGAATTTTTATCAGATCTATGAGACACAGTATTGATCGCTGAATCAGATGGCATTAAATCAGAATGATCTTTTTTCGATTTTTTGCTGTTCGCTAATCGTCGAAGCTGTGTGAGTACCTTAAGAAATTTCCGAAACATCGAATATAATGTGTAAGATATGCACAATTCACTTGTGTGGATGTTATATATTGAGAAATAGCAAATCTTTTCGTTCCGTCACTATTACGAGCTGATCGAATCAAACGAACGTATTCTTCAGGAACGATTTTTCGTCCATTGCGCATCTCTTTTTCGTAGATGTTTTGTATGAACTCTTTGATACTTGTGTCAATACGTTGTGGCTGTTTACGAATTCTCAAACCCCAACCGAGTTTTTCAAAAATTGAAAAGCGCTTTGGGATATAATTCGGTAAGTTAGATGTTGTAGTCGTTTGCGAAGCCAATTGAAAATGGCTAGTGCCACTACGCATTCTGAAATCATAATATTAAATGGATTGCTGAAGTCTATGGCGCATGATGAATCTTTTACTTTTCAAAAAGTAAAACTTTAGCCGTGTCATTGGCGCTTAGTGTACTGTCTTTGGTCGTATGTTGGCCAATTGACTCGTGAACAAGAAGTTCATCTTCCGATTGAAAACTCTCGATACAAGCATCGTTAGAGCAGAAGAAAAATGAAGTATAATTACGATCATTTCGTTGCCTGTTTCGTACGTGAACATTATTATTATTATTATCGCAATTGGATCTAAATGAAGATTATTTTCAACACGACCATCCGCTTGAATAAAGTTTTAATATCCTACGGTTCAAATGGTTCAATCAGTTTCATATTGATCGGTATATTCAAAGCTTTGAATTTAAGAATACGACCTGGGCCGATCTCAGACGCTTTACGCAGGACCATATGATAATCATTGTAGACAATATTGCGAATCATACTGATATCGGCTATATGATAACTGTCAATCGCACATACATTGTTGATCATTTCACCGACGGCAACTTTTACATTCTTAATACCTCCACAATATTCCATTCCTTCCAATATATCTCTATGGTAAGAAGTAGTAAAAGAAATAGTACATACCACGTTTTATCTGTGAAGCATTCACCACATCATTTCCTGCATGTAAGTATGCCTTCATGCGCATTTTCGATGCACCAGCAATTCGGTCGCATATATCTTTTCCTGCCTGCACTTCTGAGTAATCACGCATAATTATTTTGATTCCAAGCGAATCCGATAAAGACCATTCACCTTCAGGTGTTGCACGACCACCAAGTACACTAGCGTTATCTGAACGCTTTACAAGAGAGTTAATGTGCTGATAGTCATTTTGAAACTGTTTAAGAATTAAAAACCCACCACTCAGTGTGGCTTGTTCGGTTTGATCGCAACGTGTGAGACATAATATATAGGTGCGCGTAATCAACGTCACTTTTTCATAGAACAATCAATTACTCAAGAATTTAGTCATAAAGCGACTTACTAGATGTATCGTAGAATATGAAAGATCCTACTAGAGCGCTCATTCCTTTTTTGCCAAAATAAGCAGTTTGCCCTTCCCGAAACCACTGAGGTAAAATCTTTTGTGCCCAATCAATCGTATGAAAAGCAGTGGTATTTGGCATTGATGAAAGCATCTTAGATTTCACCAAGTCTTGCTGTACCGTGCGAATACGATGACGGAACATTTCGTAAATATGTTCAATTGCCAAACCGAAATCATATTTTAGTTCATTGCGATTTTCCTCGTCTGGTTCCTGATCAATAAGATTTTCAATATCGTCGAAGAGATAACCGACGTGCAAGCATCCTAAAGTACCAATAAAATAGTTCTAAAAACATGTAATTACACGCTGATTTGTGATCTTCTTAAACTTAAACTTAAATAATTAACACTAAACTTCTTCAAACAACAGTTGTTAATAACTTTGCGAGAGAAGCAGGAAAGTGCCGGTTTTGTGAAACATTGCTGTATAAATGTAAAGGAACAGTAAACTAAAGAAAGCGAGCAAATATGTGCTTACGAACCAAGGCTTTCTACGATGAGGATGTGTTGATACTGTTTATATTAAAAGTCAACAACTCATCGTTAAAGTACAACTACCGCTTCATACAATATTTAAAGGTTGCTTATCTTATTAGTTCAAACAACTCGGTAATAAATCATTGATTCGGAACAAATATATGCTTACCCTCGCAATACGAATCATGTTTGTGTTTGCATGTTTGAAAGAAGTCACGATCTTTCGCATCACTAAGAGCAAAAACAGTACAGTGGCAAACACATTCGCTCTCACTATTGCAATGTGATGAGTATGATGTTTTTAAATACAAAGAACATTTTTCAACACGAGACCGTAAATCTTCTCTTCTTTTCTCTTGAATGGAAAAGCTTGAAATAATGTTGATAAGTACTTCCCATGATTCAGCTGCTGCTTTCGCAAAGTCATCCATACCAGATATAGCTCTGACAGATTTATGAGATGAACACAAGGAAAAATAATGATATCAGTAGTAACTTACTTTTGCGAACGCGTTTTAATACTTTCCAATAAGTACAACAGTTTTCGATCAGATAAAGGTTGAAAATTAACTTCAGAGCAATGTATTTTGTATTGGTGTATGGCATGACTTCGTTTGGCTTGAAGTATTTGACGAGGTATGTTTAAAGTACTACCGTTTTCTAATTTGAGATAAGTGCTACCCCAGGCAACCGACACTAACATATTGGTGCTAATCAACCAAGTAAGGAAATGATCAATTTGATTCGGTTCAAAGCGTTGTCGAATGATACGACTAGAAAGGTTCCTTTTGTTATACATTAGCATATTCCAGACAACACTCACGGCCGTTCTTCCACGTGCAAAGGTGTGGTAGTAGCACCTACTAAACGTCTGGACGCTTTAACAGCATGTATAGTACAGTCAAAACGACGTGCGATTTCACCTGTTGATAGGTTCCAATTTTTTGGAATTAAAGCCAGTAAGCGTACTTTCTCGTCATAAGGAAAGTGCTTCTCTTCATATTCACGATACATACCAATCAAATGAGCGAGAAAATTGTCATCTGTTGCTGTATCGCTTTGATTCATTGGAGATCGTGGCGCAACAACACCATCAAGACCAGCAAGCTGTGACATAAAATTGAGACTATTGTTCGTAAATAAGACGAAATTCTTACATCAATTAATTGATCGGCCTGGCCTGGAGCAATAGCCGACGCAGCCATTGTTGCAGCCGCAGAAACAGTCTGACGTAGCTTTGCGATTAGCCGTCGAAGCGCTCCTGGTGTCTGTTCTTCCAATGGTATTCGTGATTGGCTTTTAATAGGTGATTGATCAAGCTCAACTAAAATATTATGAACTTTATCACGTGAACTGTCATCATCAAACGCAAACGATTGAAAACTTGAGATAGAATCTGTATCGTCACTTTCATCGTCGGTCGTATAATTTTCGTCAAAATTGTTGTTCACAGAAGAACTTTTATACGTTTGCTTTCGATGCATGTCACAAATTTTACCACCGTACGGAAAGCCGGAAATCTTTTTAACAACATTGAGTGATGCAACGCGTAGTTTGCTCTTTGATTTTCTCTTTTTCTGTTCACTTAGATTAGATTCTTGGAAAGTAACCTTGTGATCGGAATGATGGCACCGATTATGAATACGCCAACCAATTCCAAACGTATATCGATGTAAAGGACAGATTTGAAGATCAACTTTTTCGACATCCACATGTTGACATAGACGATTCAGAATTAGATCTCGTTCCAAAACAGGGTTATTCATAACCTGACTGCGTGTTATCACATTCAAATGTCGGAGATAGTCAGTCATGTCATCGGTTAAATCGGCAACCAACACAGGCAAACTGCACTCTTCGTCTAATTCAGGAAACCCGGACGAATTAATGTTATATGAAAGAAGAATGTTTACTTGTATGTCCGTAGAAAGTACATGATCCGAACGTATTCCAAAGACAGCAGCCTCGTATACTATCGACTTCATTTTCATCAGTTGTTGAGGACATCTCAATATTCATTTTACTGTTTATCTGAAATAAAAAACGACGAAAAATTTAACGACAACCTTCAGTACGAATTTAGTTTGAACGATCATCATTTGTAAAGAAATATATAAACGAGCTGTTAATTGATTGTGGATCGTTTCTATGTGTGCAGCAGTATGATGAAATTAAACCATTGTCAAATTAATGAGTTCGACTCTTTAAAATGTTTTTATAAGAATACTAAGTAATAGTGTCTCAACACATATACATTCTGATCATAAGTTTTAACAAAAGTAAATAATACGGTAATTTATTTTGTTAACGAAGCAATTGACGCACAGATTCATCATATAACAGATTGTTGTACTAATTTTATGCAACACACAATTGGCTGAAACACATCTGCCGCCTTGACGTAATAA